GGTTTCTTCTAAAACCATCTCAACAAAAAGAGCGAATACGACCAACTTAACTGCACACCTGAGAGTGAGAGACTGACAGTCTATTTATTTGTATTTATTTTGATATTTTTACGTGTTATTTCGGATATTTATTTTTTTGCATTCGTAAATATTCTTGTTAAATAAATGTTTATTTCTCTTTAAAAGGGTGTACTTGCATCAGTATGCCTTTATTATCATCATTATACAAGTTTTAAAACAGCAAAATTACAACAATAATAAAAATGGTCTTAAAAGCACAATATTACGCAATAGTATCGCTTATCGCAATAATTTCTGATGCAATTAATCGCCCAGCAAAATTTGTTACTGTGACAGGCCTAGTCATGTAGCACCAATTTCTGTTTCAATTTGCATCTTTCTACTGCATAGTGGTAAGTTTAATGAAGACCATCATTCCAGCAGTGAATACTTTTTTTTAAATGGTAGTTCTGACAAAATGATGATCACAACATGAATCACAGCAAATACATTTCCAATTTCCATCACTTGATGTTGTGTTTATCTAAACGCATGAGACATGAATGATTCACAAAATATTGACTGTGAGCACCTCAAGGAAATATAATGCCTTCAAACAAAGCCAAAACGATACAATTTGTACAATTCAAACTAAGGATATTCTGAGCGGACAGAGCTGACAGGTGGAAGAGGTTACTGTTAATAAAGATTATATAATTCATAGTTTTGAGATAGAAGCCTTGGAATCCACTGGCTCCTGCGTTCACCTCCTGCCTTTCCTGTAATTGAACCCATGAGTGCCTCGCTGACAACTTGGCCCCAGTGGTCACTGTTTGATTACAAAACGTTTTTCCAGTGTATTTAGGAACACAAAAGCTGTCTGTGAGAAAGTTCTGACTAAAAACACTTTATTTTGTCAGCTCGCACTTGTCAAAGATAGATGACTGCTGCAATTAGATCGGTGGGGTGTCCAACTTGTCTCAAAGGGCAAAGGAAAATCCTGTTCAATTAAATGTGTGGGCTCCCCAAGGAAGTCATATAAAGAAGAAGGCTTTGGTTAAAGTTTAGTGAATCCCTCTAATGTTAAGAGGAGCCATGCCTTCTTCATACAGGGCCTGGTGAGACATAGTTAGAGGGTAAATGGTGTTTAAAGAAGCTGTTTTGGAGGGAAAAACAGCGTGATGCTAAACATATAAAACAGCATCCACTTAGCTTTTCCTGTACTAGCAGCACTGAATGACAGAGTCCAGGAGCAGAGGAAAGCTATGCCGCTGGGATGCATTGCTCGAGAGTGAGATGTGACTCACAGAGCAGTTAGGGCATTGAGAAAGTCCAGGAAGGCAAATTATCCACATTTTTCCAAAAGAGACTGACGCACATCAATGACTTAAGGTTAAGATTTACAGGGAGGTCAACAGGCACTACGCACCATCAAACGCTACATTATTGAACAGTTAGAAACATCTGCCAACTGAAGAATTATTATTTAGACAGGGGCTAAGATGAAAATGCTAAAAATAGAGCAAACATTCAGATGGTTTAAAATGCTGGGGGGTTTTTTGGCAGCAGAGTTGGAACTCATTTTTAATATAATTCAATTTCAACAACAACAGCAACAGCAAAGATACTTATCTTAACTGAATTACCTTTAAAGAGCTTTTCTCTGGTAGTTATCATCGGAAGATTTTGTAATATAATGGAAAGATAAGACTGAATATCCAGGAGAACACCATGTGGTGACTTAACTTACCCTGCACAAGCACCAGTAGGTACATGTGACTGAGCCACATAAATATTGGCACTGACCACAAAATTATGGAGAGTTGTTGTCGCAAATTAAGAGAGGGATCATGTTTACGATCTAATCAAAGTGCAAAATTTGTCTGGCAATTAAAAGCACTGCTGCAAACTGAACATGAAGGCAACCTATTATGTTTGTATAAAGACGACAAATGGCTTATTACTCCCATATGTGTCTCACAAATCAAACAAATACAGGAAACTAAAAGCACATGTCAACATTCAAAAAAAACAGAAGAGTAAATGGGAAATTGCAAAGCGGTGACCAGTTGTAAAAAGTGGCCAGCAACATTTAAGGAGAAAAGGAAGAGCAATACACATCCAAATGTTTAGCTTCAACACTGTGAAACATCAAAGCAAAACCATTTCATAATTATGTAAGATTTTGGAACTGGTGCTCCGAACCTGCAGTTCCCATTACACAAAGATGATGCTGAGCAGAAGGATCAAAACTTTTTCCTTATTTGTTTGCCTGACCAGGTGAGGAAAAGTGAGGGACGCCTGCCAAACATTTGGAAGGAGACACAAAAAGCCTGAGGTTTATTTAAAAAAAACAAAAAACAAACAGGATTCTGCCAGTGATGCGAGATTCTTTAGTGAGATGGGAGACAAGGATAAAAGCATCAGGTTTTATTTTTTCTCCTTTTGTCAACCTTTTGTTGTCTGCCTCTTAGCTCCGAACTTTGTGCTTCCATGGGTTACATGAATTAATTTAACTAACTAAGATAGCCAGGGCCGGGAATCAGTACTTGATACATTCAAGGCACAAATCAAAATAAACGAGAACCTAGTCGCACCAACATCTCCAGTCAAACAATACCTGCATTCAATCCTTACTGTGTAGGGGGGTATCTAATCCCTGATCAGCAAACTTTCTGTTACTGCCATCTCCAGATCCACTTCCCTTCTGGCAAACCGTCAGCTCAACGTCAACATCCCTACAAGCTTACTACAAGCTAAAACAGCAGCAGCTAACATCCAACATCGAGCTGTTAAATGGTCCCAACAAAATCACACCAGCTTGATTCAGTCATTACACTGTTAACAACTACTGGGTAACATTAGCCATGTGACGTTAGCCCCATCACTGTGCATGTCTGTGCAGGCAGACTCTCACCAACTGTCAGCATAGCACTCACACTCCCGCAGCAGCAGCTACAACTCATACAGTCTGTGGTCTGGTGAAGTTGACTGCGGTTTATTTGACCAAGTTGGTAGTTTAGCGTGCCAGGATGCCACCAAAACATTTGAAGGCATGGCTATACTACATGCAAATCTATTTACATTATGGACATTGTATGATCAAGACTAACTTTACTGTCCCACAAACACACAAACAATTTGTATTGGGCTCTTCACCCATAATGCCACCATAAATATTTGACATGAAAACATAGAACATATACAAATCAACATTTAATGTAACAATAACAAAACAAACAAACAAAAAAAGGGTAGGGTACCCTTTTTTTAAGACACTGGCATTGGTTTTTTTAAACAATACCTAGCCCTAAAGATGACTGACTGACTCAGGATTAGAAAGTCAATGGACATCTACTGTCCTGTACAGTTCATGGTGGGGTATATTTATAGACAATACATTCAAATGTTTGGGAATTATCATTTGTCTCAAATCGCAAATAGTGTCTAAATGGGTACTCAAGTGATTTAGTACTGTACATCTATGAAGTTATGGGAACATCACAAAAAAAATGTAAAAAAAAATAAAAAATAAAAGATGTCCAATGATCAATGGTCAAAATGTGTGCTACTGAATCTGAAATATTCTCAGTTATAGATTTATAGTTTTAGTCCCCGCAGGAATGTGTATCGCATCATCCATGTGCAGACAGACGAGATATGACAGACTCATAAAAATACTGCTCCACAGTGCTACAAAGCAGTCAAAACTTCACAGGGTACATTTGAGGCAAATATAATGGTATTTAAAAGGCTTAAACAGAGTAGTTCAATGTTATGGTTTCATACACATACTGTACTTTCGACATTTTTTCTTGTCTATGAATGTGCACACGCCTCCATCCCTGCCGATTCCCGACACTCCATTCCTGTCCATGTGGAGAAAGGAAAAGCCATAAAGTTTAAGTAAAAACTGACAGGAATGTCCAGGTTCAGCCATGTCTCAGTTAGTGCTGTTACGCACAACTCCCTGTATTTACAGCATACTCTGGCACTTCATCATGGCAGTTCATCTACTTTGCCCAGCAATGATCACAAATAGCTGAGAATCATAAAAGTCAAGCATGATCTGTTGTCTCAATGCACAAGGCTGACACCCTCCAAAACCCCACAACCACCTCTTTGGCCTAATCTCCAAAGGCGTCTCCTCTAGGTTGGCAGGGCTGGCAGCTCCTCAGGGAAGCTGGGACGAGATAGAAATTCCACAGAACAGAGATTCAAGAAAGCCTCTCTGATGTCTGACACTGCAAAGGTGTTATTTTCACCCCCAGCCAATGACTGGCATGTCAGAAATTTTAAAAGAGAAGAGCAAGAATTTTGCAGACGTTGTTATTAAGCCACACAAGCACACCACATTCAGCAGCAGATTGTAAATGGTGGTTCAAACCACAAGTGAACATCATAAGAATGCCACTTTCACCGTTGTAAGGCTGCTTTGTATGTTCCACAATTATAGGTGTTATAAATTTGCCTCCAACCGCAATGATCATTTTATGTGCCTATGAGTGTTTCCTTCCAACAGTGTACAGTAAATTAGTCCATGTAACCAACTACTATTTCACAGAGCTCCTTTATACCCAATCTAGACAGGCAAAAAGACTCGGGTCAAACCCGTATCCAGGGTCTAAGTTAATCCGTCAACACTGGTTAGCTGAGAAGAATCTGTTCATTCCATGTGCAAAAGGTGACATAGTGTGAAAAACGTGACAAAAAGTGATTGTTTCGGTTGAAGGACCATCATCAGCAGGACCGCTGCAATTCTGCAGACATTGATAGGTGACCAGACTAACAGCAATGACCAATCCAGAGAAGGGACATAAGAGGCAAGAGGAGTTTCATATTAACTCATCGGCTGTATGCCGCAACACAACCTATAGGGAATCTAGAATGAACAGACCAGATTTTTCAAACGACAGTGTTTGTTTACAATAATTTCCGGTTAAAAAATCCTCACATCACATACATTAAATTAAGCAGCACTGAGCAAATGCTGCCTCAACTGGTTAGTTTTTAGCCAACTAATAAAGGCCCACCTAAAAAATTATTATCAGTTTAAGTGTACGCTATATTTAGAACATTTTCATAGCTTTACCATGCAATCAGACAGCCCTTTCTTACGGGTTTCTTCTTAGTGTTTAAGGTGAAGAAGTGAAAATATTCAAACTAGAGTGTACACTTACAGTGACATTTTTTTGTTGTGGTTTTGTTTTTTTGGTGGCTAAAATATGTTTCGCTGCAGCTCCTGTCCAAAGCAGTACACTGTCTAGCATTCGTGACCGTAGCTTTGGTTTATCAAAGATGCTAGAACACAGTACATAAAATAAGGACAGCTGTAATGTCACATAGGTTGGACCACAGTGTTTTAATATATAGATCTTTCTATAGATGTCACATACCTTCCCAATTCAAAACAATTGTCAGTTGTCTACCTGGAAGTGTGAGCATGACATCATGGTGATTCGTCCGATACAAATCACATGCATTCCCCCATGTATCAAAATATATACTGTGAGTTTTGAACTCTATATGCACTCATTTATACACATTTACAAATACAGAAACTGAGAGCAGCAGTGTTAATCACTGGATGGACAAGTGATTCATTTTGCCTACCTATACAGGCAATTTTTCAGTAAAACTTCACTAAAACTAAAAATTAAACAATTACTGATTAATCCAATCTTTTCAGGTCAAGTAGAGTCAGATCAAACGAAGGAAAACAGAATATTTTTAAGGATATTTGTGTTTCCTTTGCTTTCCAATGCTTTACAAATTTCTATTTAATCATTTTCAAACAGATTTTGCTGCTGTGACAAAACATGAAAACCAGTGTCAGCGTTGTCGGTGCCGTGACACAGATGAGAAAATACAAGCAGGCTTCTGTTATTCATCAAAGCAAGAATATCACTTCATTCTGTTGTTGTGTGGTTCTCCAGTGGGTAACAGTATACCATTTCAGCTACTTTAACAAAATGCAGTTCATGTGTGATGGCAAAATGTTAAGCCTTTACACATGCAGACAGCATTTTCAGACTTTGCCCGTCTCTTGAACAAATTATTTCCGCTCAATGGAAACTGTATTTTGCCCTAATTTTATCCTCAAGGTTTCACTAAGCCTTTCTCCTTGTATCAACACCCTTTTGAAATTTAATGCTGAAAGGCTGTGCGGAAAACATGCCTGCTTCAACATCTGCCAAAAAGGGTAACATCAATAGAACACTTAACCTACAATTAAGAGTGCTTAGTGACTTCACACATCTCTTGGCATGTGAAGACCAAATTTTCTGAAGAAATGGTTAGCCCAAAGGATATAGTAAAATCTGTCATTAACAGGGTTAATTTAAGTGTAAAGAAAGGGAGGGAAATTACATACAACTCTGCTAAAGCCAAAAACAAGTACTCAGATGTTGTAACTAGGTTTCTATATAGCTAAAGAATTTGCATTTCTACACCGTGCCTAGTAGCATGTAACTGGAAGTCCAATGACTTCAGACAGTAGCTAGTTTGTTTTGTTTCCTCGGCTCCTTATGTTGCCCTTTCAGGCAAGAGGCAAAAAAAAACATGACTGCCCAGAAACCTTCAACACCTGACGAATAGAGGAGAAACGTGGGCAAAACCACTGTGGAATGAGAGAAAGTGAGACGTGGGGAGAGGTGGGGGGACAGAGGGAGGAGGGATGGGAAAGGCCCTCCACCCTGAAGGTTGGAGAGGGTCAAGACAGCCACTGGTGCGCACCGGGAGAGAGGGGGAGGACCCACATGCAAAATACTTAAGATGTTCAGGGAGAGGAGGGCTTCACAGAGGAAATAAGACAGAGCCTGGGTGAGTCGCTGGTCAAAGAGGAGCTCCAACTCAACTGGTCGCCCAAAGTCCATTTGATATTCCCAGCAAAGACCTCCTACAGGGACAGACTGCTTTGAACGCAATTAAAAGATTTGTGAAAATCTAGAACTTTTCTGCAGAAAATGGCAAAAGTAAATTTGAGTGTAGTTGCTTTGTGGGTCACACTGCTCCTGTTGGCAGAGACTTGGGCCCAGAATCCCAAGAAGAGACTGGCACCCCCAAAGCCTCCAAAGGCTCAGTGCTGCGATGAGGTGCGCTCTCTTAAGGTTCAAGTAGCCAATCTGACCAGTCTCCTCGAGGAGATGAGTCGCAAGCAGGAGTCAGACTTGATGAGCGTTGTGAGGCAAATAATGGAGCTGGACAAGCAGAACCGTCAGCAGGAAGCCCGGGTCACGGAGGCAGAGAGCAAGTACTCAGAGATCAACAACCGTGTGGAGATCATGCAGCTACAAACTCTGCAGTCTGCTACTCAGACTTCATCAGGTGAGCATCAC